TTTCAGCTGGTTTCCAAAGTTCCAAAAGAAGGTTCTAAGCTCCCAAGTGTACTTCATTGTTTTGTGTTTATTCTGTGAGGACTGGAAAAATGTCTGTGAGATCCAGTAAGTGCTTATTATGTACCTATCTTCTACCAAACATAAAATGATCAGTTTAAAGTAAAAAACAATTTTTTATGATACTAAGTATTGGCTGGTGAGTACTTTCTTGGCTTAGTGCTGCTTTGTAAGGAATGGACTTCTTGTTCTCTTGCTGGACAAGTTTAAAATTCAAGAAGGGGGCATGGGGGAATCCTTATCTGGCATGTGGAGGTGGGGAGAGGAGCAGAGGGCTTCCTGTTTTCCTAGTCCCTTAGGCATCCATAGCAAATTACTAGAGGCCTTGGGTTCACTGTCATAGCCTCAGGATTAGCCTCAAGGCCTGTGCTAGTGATGGGACTCCATTACTCATTGTGATTTTCAAGCACTGAAGTCCACATTTACAGTGGCTGTTACAGCCCTGCCTCTAACCCTAAATTCCTACTCCAGTCTAGAACCACAGATCCCTACATACTTATCAGAAAATTATCCTGTACAGTTGATGTGTAAAGGTGTCTCATAAACATAATCTCCATTTTAGACTAGCATATTCAAATACATAACAAATTATATTTAAAAGTATATTACTTTAGGCCCTGGCTGGGTAGTTAGGTTGGTTGGAGCATCCTGATACACCAAGGTTTTGGGTTCGGGCACATAATAGAAGTAACCAATGAATGAATGCATAAATAAGTGGGACAACAAATTGATGTTTTTCTCTTTCCCCTTTACTCTCTCTCTAAAATCAATGAAAAAGAAAGTAACTTCATGTAACTTGAAAACAAGTGTGCTTAAGCATATGGTGAAAAATTTCTTGTGCCACAGATTGCAATTTAATGGAAGTTTGATGTAGTTAACAATAGTCAGAGTGGTAAATTAATTATTCATGAATTATTTTATGCTAGCTAATATAAGCATAATAGAATTAATTTTTAGATAAATAAATATGACTGTTCCATAAAACAGTCCATATAAAGGGAAAATGCAAAGCACATCTTTCATTGAAATTTATTTAGTGTTTTTCCAGGAATCTCATGGTGCTTTTAAACTATCAAATAATCATTGTAGAAAGCCAAGCATTGTCAGTTTTAAATAACTCTCGCACTATTCCTTTTTTCATAACATTAATTGACCATAATTGTGGGGGACATAATTATACTGATAAAAAAATATGACACCCCAGCGTTAGTGATGTCACATGGCTTAAATCATGCCATCTAGCTATTTCTAAGAATCTATAAAATGGGGCATGAGACATTAACCTGCGGTCTAGAACACGAGTTATTTTTGCCACACTCAATATGGAGGGCAAGTCACACTGAGAAGCAGTTCACCTTCTCAGGCCTGCCTGGCCTGTCCCACCTCTCCTCTTTCTGATTGGAGGACGTGTTTCACCCTGGAAGTTGCCTGGGCCACTATTGGCCAGTTGTCCAATCAGTCTTGTGTCATCTCTTTGCTCTTTATAAGTAAACAAACAAGTATTGCTCAAGAGGAGTGCAGGAGCTATTCTCAGAAGGGATTCAGTCAGGAGGATTTGGAAGTTGGCACGCTAAAGGTGCGGTGCTGTGGGAGTGTCTTCACTGGTTCCAGGGAGGTTTTGGGAGGCAGTGCTTCTCTCTGTGAAGCTCTGCCTCTGCGGTACAACTTCAGAAAACAGCGACCTAGTGCTCGCAGGAAAGCCACCATAAATCACATATAACTTAACATTATTCTTAAATAAGTGAATAAGACTGATGGAACTGGGTGACTTTCCACAGGTTTTTTGTTATTGTTGCTTGTTTAATTCTAACACACTTCAAAGGATTGCTGTTTTTTTTTCAGCTTTTGCCCATATAAGGGATGTAACTGTTCAGACTCTCATTTTAAACCACGAACCTCTTGTTTAGCCTTTGAATGTGTTCCCTTCTTTCTAGTCACCTTGACTGTTTCTGCTGAGCAATGATAAAATGGCATTTTTTTGACATCTGGATTCTGAGAAACAGCATGAGTAAAGTTAACATTGTTTACTACCAATTGGAAAATGCCCTCCCCTGTATTCTGCTTATTTCCTTAGATGTTATCAGTTCTCACTAATAAAAAGTTGATTATTGTAGTCTCATAGTGTTAAAACAAATGATCTTTTCTACCTAATTTTTCCTCACTTTAGCATGAATGCACCCTCAGTGTTCTTTGTAAAGGATACAGTTGTATATAAAGGATTATAAAATTGTTCAAGGACAAATAAAACTTTCAGGGTTCAACCTGTAACAGTTCTCTGCTGTGTGCAAAGTCTTTCCCTTCTGGTTCTCTGTGCCAACATGGATCACCCAAGCTCTGACAGCTGTCTTTTTCCACTGTTCTAGTGGTCTGCACCAACTCAGTCCTTCGATATCTTTGTGAGTTATTCTACACAGACTTCCTGCTGTAAAGAATATATAGATACACTTTTTAACTGTATAGTTGTATATTTCAAATTATCAGTATATAATAGTTTACCCATTCTACTAAAGATGGACACTTGAGTAAATTATTTTGTACATTTTAATCTACTCTAAGCTCCTCTAGAAGAAAATTACATTTTGTTAATAGGGCCTAGTAGGGAATAGATATATTTTTTAAAAAACTGACTGAAATGTAATAGTGGCAAGGATCATGCTTTAGAATCTATGGATCCACACAGAACATAGCACCTACACTAGTCAGGCATTCTGTAAATGTTTATTATGTTAGTTGATACATTGCTGAGATACTTCTTAGCTTGGATGGTGACGGTGATAACCCACCAGTCTTCTCTACATCTGTTAGGCTCATGTTCTTCCCTGCAAAATCTTTTACCCAGTTTGTTTATTTTCATTCAACAAACATTTAGTCAGTAAACATTCCTTTATTACATGAAACGTTAGTATACCTATCGTGTAACAAAGGTTACATTAATAAAGCTGGTTCCAAAGGAAGCAAATGTTGACAATAAAATATGATGGTGCTGTAATAAAGGGACCAGCCTTCCTAGAAGGGGGGTACCTTAGAGGACAAGAGGGAAGAGGATTGGTTTTAATGACACAGACTGGGGAGATGGGACTTCCTGGCAGAGGAGACAGGTTGAGCAAAGTGACAGAGATGTGACAAAGCATAGTGAATTATGGCTAAGGAATCTGGTGGCTCCTATTGAAAGATGTGTGGGGAAGGAGATGAGTGCGGCCAGGCTGGGAAGTTAGGACCAGAAGTGAGCTACTGGTGTGATGTGATAAGGAGTCAGTGGGCCTGCTAAGTACTTTTAAATGGGATGAGTCTGCTTTTGTTTGTTATTATTTAGTGAGTTCTGGTAACTGCACAGGAGGAAGGTTGAAAAACCTTCTAGATGCAGGGAGGTCACTTTGCTGTTGTTTTTCAATTATGTGGACCTGAGATGGTCAAAATTTGAATTAAGATACTGTTAGTTTCATCAGAAGATGTACTTCCTCATTTATGGAATTCTATGGACTAGAGTAGGCTCCCCTCTTTTCTGCTCGAGATTTCTTTATAGAGGTGGTGCTGGATAGCCAGGACTTTGTGGAGACTGGGCCCAGGGGAACTGGCAAACTTTCTATTTTTTTTTTTTAAACTAGATTAGCAAGACCCCACACTTGACCAGAAACACTGGGGTGGCTTGTGGATTCTTGGCTTCCATTTAGACCAGGGGTGTCAAACTCATTTTCATTGGTGGCCACATCAGCCTTGGGGTTGCCTTCAAAGGGCCAAATGTAATTTTAGGGCTGTATACATGTAACTACACTACTCTAGGGGCAAGGAGCTCAGTGCTGCTGCTGGGTAGAAACAAGGTGGAGGGTTGCCTTGTGTTTGCCACCTGTGCTTTAGATTCTGGGCAACTTCTCCAGCACTTCAGGTCATTGAAGTAAGTCTGACCAGAAAGGAGTTGGGTTCACACCCCCTGGCCCTTCTCTCTGGAAACAACTAATAATAACAGTTTCTTGCTATGAGCAATTTAAGGTGAAGCCACTGTCACAGGTGGCTTTACAGATTCTCTAGAACACACCTGCCCTGGAGCACAGAAAACAAGGTAACTAGGGTATAACAAGATCACCGAGAGATGACACAGGATTTATCAGCTAGCATGATTTCCCCTTTTGCTGTAATGAATGTTAGTTGTCAGATAAAAGGGCTGAATTCAGGGTTCTATTTTGCTTACCTAGTTTGTAGAGCTTTAACAGTTGGCACTGGTTCCTCCTGCCACTTAATCACACCTTCTGTGTGCAGCAGCCCTTGGGGGTCATCTAGAGCTTTCCAGGGGGTGGGGGTGGGGTTTCCTGGGGAGGAAGGTGTGTTTGGGGGAATCCTGGGGTCCAGTCCCTGCGGCTGTCCTCAGGGGAAGGTTGCGGTGGGGTGGGGGGGTCCTCGGGACCATGGGGGGTGGTCCTTGGGGCTATCCTCTGGACTGCAGACACATCTGAAGGCATTCCAGGTGAGGGGTGGCCTCCGCGAGCCCGGTCCATGCAGAGGGGAGCGCGTCAGCTCCATACTCCGGAGGTGGCAAATTTGGTCTTCACATGCCGCAGCAGACAGTGCACCGTCCTGCTGCCCACCAGCATGTCTTCGGTTAGGAAGGGACAGCCATCGCGCGTTTGTGGGTGACATTCTTTACCTGTGCTTGGTCCGGGAGTGGGACAGGAGGCCCTCAGACCTCAGGTGAGGCCAGGCCGGGACGGCTGGGAAAGGGCCCCGCGGATAGCCCCCCTGGGCAGGCGGGGCTTTGGGGGGCTGGTCGTCTGTGGGTCCCTCCTAGGGGGCGGGGCCGAGACTAGATGGAGGGGTGTGGGGGGGTTGGTAAATGAGGCTAGGCTCTAAGTGGGCGTGACTAGGCCCTGGGGGGCTGGCTGGGCTCTGCTGGGGTGGGGCGGGGCGGCTCACAGCTGCGCAGCGCACGCGCGGCGGCGGCAGCTGTTACTCTGACCGGCATGGCGGTGTGCGCTCGTCTTTGCGGCGTGGGACCTTCGCGGGGATGCCGGCGTCGCCAGCAGCGCCGGGGCCCGGCCGAGACGGCGGCCGCGGACAGTGAACCGGACACAGACCCGGAGGAAGAGCGCATTGAGGCTGGCGTGGCGGTGCTGTGTGGTGGGGGGAGCGGCCGGAGCTCGAGCCCCTCGCCGCCCCCGCGCTGTTCCCTGCTGGAGCTGCCTCCGGAGCTGCTAGTGGAGATCTTCGCCTCTCTACCAGGCACTGATCTCCCTAGCCTGGCTCAGGTCTGCACCAAGTTCCGTCACATCCTGCACACCGACACCATCTGGAGACGGCGCTGCCGGGAGGGTGAGTGCGTTGTATTGGGGTAAGGGCCTGGAATGGGGGCGACCTGCCCAGGGCTCTCGACGGGGACCTGCCATAGTTCGGGGCCCCGCCATAGTTCGGGGCCCCATAAGCAGGGTTTCGACTGGGTTAGGGGTTCGGCCTGGGGGGGACTCGGGGTCTTGGGTCCCATGGGCCCTGCATGGGGACCTGCCACAGATGGGGGTTCCAAGGGACAACCCGGTTGTGCGGGGCGGGGGGGGGGTGGGTAGGGGTCCCGCAGCAGATCCAGGGCACGGGGTTTGGGTGAAATATAGTTCCCAGTGGGCACTGGTGTGCCCAGAGAGGGTGGAGTGGTCTTTCAGCTGCCAGGACTGGACGCAGCAGAGCCAAGGGAAGTGACGCCAGCTGGGGCCGGGGTTGAGGGGTGGTCCCTGTAGGTGTGAGACCCTGGAGGTTTAGGCTGGCCCAGGTAGTAAGCTGACCTCCGCTGATGTCCGCCGGGGCCCTCGGCGTCCCCAGCCCTTTGGGGTTGGTTGGGTGTGTGTGCGGGGGAAGCTGAGGGGCGCGTGAGGGTGAGCTTGAGTAGTAGGGGGCAGAGGGGGCCGAGTGTCTGGAGGGTCTCCTGGGGAAAGGAGTGGGTCTGCGTACAGGTGAGTGGAGCAGGCGGTGCTGGAGGGGTTGCTGTCCCGCTCAGGGGTGCTGGTGGCAGTGGTGAGGATAGTGAGTAGTGAGTTTTGTAACAAATCCTGGAAGGAAAGGTTTACTTAATCCAGGATACAAGGCTCTCTGCGTTTAAACGTTACCAGATCTTTGATATTCAGCAAGCTCTCATAGTGGTAAACAGGATAGGCAAGAAAAAGTCTGAACAACGCAGAACTGCAAAAGGATGAAAGTAAGAATCATCAGGGAACATATGAAGTCTTGCCTCCTTGGCATATGTCATCAAGTTGGCTGAAATAAACTTATTTTTTTTTTAAAGTGAGAATCATCAGAGCTCCTACAGTCAAAGACGAACTCTTAAAATTTTGGAAAACATCTTTCCATATACAAATATAAAATCATGTACATGTTTTTACTTCAATGCAGTTGTACCATATGCTTTCTCTTAGAGACAGTTTAGTATAAAAAAGCTCCATAAAATTATTCACCGGCATACATAGGCCACAGACTACTACCTTACTGGTAGGTTGTTAAATCGGCAATTTTTTCTTATCATAAACAGTGCTATCAAGACTGCCTTTGTGCATTTCACGGGAATTTATGAGACTTACATGTATCCTCTAGGACTTTGGAGGTTATTTTCTTAGTGCACATTTCCCAAAGTGGGGTTGTGGGTAAGTAGGATGTGCACATTGGTAAAACCTTAGGTACCCATTGCCCAGTTGTCAGAATTCACACCACCAGGGAGGCTATATAAGAAGGCCTCTTTTCTCAAATCCTCTTCAACAAGGGGATCAACTAGTCATCTCTCTTCTGTAAATCTCAATGGCCAACACTCTGGATTTAGAGTCATGGGCAGGCTGTGTATCCATCGAGAGATCCTGCATAGGCTGCTTCACCTGCTCAAGTGGTAGTGGGAAGTGCTGTCCCATATGATTAAATGAGATGATGCATATGAAGCTCTCACTCTCTAAATAGTAGGCGTTTAGTTATCATGGCTTTTCACCATTTTATTTCACCTCCTGTGAATTTCTTATTTGTGGGTTGTTTTTTGTTTTGTTTTCTCTCTTGTCCTCTTAGGGACTCTATTATCACTTTCTTTTTTATCTTTAAACAAGGACTTTTTTTTCTATTGCATTTTAGAGAGAGAGAGAAACATTAATGTGAGAAAGAAACACTGGTTGTCTTGTATGTGCCCTAACTGGGTATCAAACCCGCAACCTGAGTATGTGTCCTGACTGAGAATTGAACCTGTGACCTTGTGGTTCATGGGATTACACTCCAACCACACTGGGCAGGGCAGGGAGTCTGTTGTCTTACAAATTTGTAAGAACTCTTTGAATATTAACATTATTACCCTTTTGTCATATATGTGGCAAGTAAATTTTCTTTGGCATTTTAAAATAGAGGCAAAAAAAAAAGTACCATTTTCTCTTTATCTGTGAGTTCCATTTGCTTTGTTTTGTATTTTGTACACCTGTAAGACCCAGATTCAGCCCTGGTTGGTGTGCTTAGCCAATGGAGTGCCGGCCTGATTCCCCCGTCAGGGCACATACCTGGGTCGTGGTCTAGGTCCCCAGTCGGGGGTGTGCCAGAGGAGACTGATCTGTGTTCTCTCTAGTGCATTGCTGCTCTTTCTCTCTCTTTCCTTCTTCTTTCCTTTTCCTCTCTCTAAAAATAAATAAAATTAAAAAAAAAAGATCTAGAATCATGACAGATGTTCTATTGTGCTTTGAGGAGTTTCTGTGTCAGTCAAGCAAACCCGTGTTGTGGTCTCTTGGGAACTGTAATGTATGTGTGTTTGTAGTTCAGCTCTAGGAACAAAGGTAACAGAAGACTTTTGTGTAATTAGAAAATGCAAAGGCATGTCACAGGGTAAAATTAACTGGAGTTATAACTCAAGGTAAATTCCTAGAATTGTTACTGGAAATATAAAAAGTCCTGATGAAGATGCAGAAGGAAGTGGAGCAGACATGGAAGGACCCTGGAGCCCCTCCTTCCTCACCGCTGCGTTGTTCAGCTCAGCTTTCTTGGGACAGCAGGCACGATGGTGGAATCCAGCCATCTTGTTCATCCATCTTGCACGACGGGGCTCCGACGTGCTCGGGGAATTTCCATTTTGAGAAATTTAAGACATGAAAGATAAAAATGATAAAACAAGCATATTCCTAGCCACCTCCCCCCCAAAAGTCTTTTGTCATATTTACTTTTGACTCCTCTACCTTTGTTAGGAAGACATCTCAGGTGAGACTCAAGTCCCTTCTGATCACCGCTGTTCTTCCCATTCTAAGAAGCAGCCACTGCTGTGGGTTTAGTTTACTTGTATATACATACACCTGTATACATCCCCAACATTATATTGTTTTGTGGTGGTTTCAAGTTTAGCACTGGATCATGCCATAAGTATTGTGTATCTTTTTTCCCCTGTCAACCTGTGTTTATTTAAGTTCTGTCTATGTTAACACATTTAAGTCTAGTTAAATCTTTTTAAATGCTATTTGAAGAAACTACACTTTCATTCCTCCCCTTTTATAATTTTTTTTTATTATACCCAGTGTGACAGTGAACAGTCTCCGATGTGTTTCCTTGGATGCAGATAAGTTTGGAAATTCCTCTAAGTACTATATCCAGAAGGAGTGTGGCTGGGCAATGGGTTTTGAAATTTGCAGTTTTACTAGATACTAGCCAGTCATTTCTGGAGTGATTTTACCCCTTTACATACCTGTCACTGGAGCATGAATAGGCAGGTCACAAAATGTGAGATACAAATGCCTAATATGCATCATTACAAAGTAGCTGCCTTCTGTGGTCCAGGTTATCTCATTTAATCCATTATCTGCTAGCTTCTCTCTGATGTGAATGATACGGCTTTAAAAATGTGTATCAGCACTGGCCAGGTGGCTCAGTTGGTTGGCGAGTCCTCCTGTGCACCGAAAGGTGGTGGGTTGAATTCCCGGTCAGATCACATACCTAGGTTGTGGGGTTGTGGGTTTGTTCCCCCCGCTCCCCACTTTCTCTCTGTCTTAAATCAAAAAGCATGTTCTCAGGTGAGGATTTTAAAAAAAATGTGTGCCAATCTGAGGGAGAACCAAAGTCTCATTTTAAGTTGTATATGTGCCTGATGATAATGAGGATGCACATTTCAGATATGTAATTACTGGCCATTTGGATTTTTTTTTGTTTGCTTATCCTTAATCTTTGCCCTCTTTTTCTATTGTTATTTTTCATATTGATTTGTGGATTTTATTTATTTAATCCGGATAGATTTCTGTTTAATATATTGTAAAACATTTTCTTGTAGTTTGTAGTCATTTGCTTTTTAACTTTATTTATAGTGACTTTTGTGTACAATGTAAATCAGAATTACAAAATTTTAACTTTGTAATAATTGAGTGATAATTAAGTAATAATTGTCATTCCAAGGTTATGAAGATGGTCGACAGCTAGATTTCAGTTTCACTATTTCCTTCTAATAGCTTTAATTTCCAGCTTCTCTAGTCAATAATTGGATAATCCCATGTGGCATTCATAGATGGCTCATAGAGTTAGTATAATTGTGTTTGGATTTATATATAAGAATAGTTGTGTGTGAGACAAATGTGGTCTTATTTCTCTGAGCCTCAAAACTTCATCTTTCCTGAACTAGACGTCTGGTTATAGTGGGTGTTGATGAGGCCAGAGAGAAGCCTCTGGGCACAAAACCAAAGCTCTCCCAGCCTTGGTGAACAGGAGACCAGATCTCTGGCTGGTTGAAGAGGTGGATGGTCATACCTCATCAGACTTTTTGGAACAGCCTTGGGGTATGGCCTTGGCAGGGGTATAATGGTGGCTCCAGTTTTTAGTGTCTTGAAAGGGTGAGTGAGACTAAGTAATGAGCTTGAATGTTTAGTAAGTAACCAGTTTGAATGAGTTTCAGTGCTCATATGTTTGCTTTCTGCATTTATATAACTGGATTTTCCAGAACAGGAAGTAAACCACAAAAGAATGGGATTGGGAAAGAGGATACTGTGCACCTGTGTAAGGAACCGCTTCAAAGAATTTGGGCTGTGATTACCTTTCAGGGTGCCAGCAAGGCATGTATGTTTAATAGCTCTTCCTAAAATGATAGTATGACCTGGGGGCAGTGGGGAGGGAGATACACCAGAAACTTAAAATGAGGTATAATGTATGGGGAGAAGTTCACAATTTCCAGTGTTCTAGCGATAGTAAATCTTTTATAGGGCCTTTCTAGCCCCCTGCATGTAGTATTTTGTAGTGGTATTTCTCCGGGCAGGTAAAAGGGTTGCTCCTGAAAAGCTGAATCTGTTTTCCTGATTTGAGGCAAGTATATAACAAATAGGCGATATTTTTCCCTCTTACAG